TTATATTACTGTTTATATGAGAACCATCTTAGGCTGCTAGGATACTGACTTGGGAGAGATTGTCTTGGTTGTAGTATAAAAGTTATCTAAAAGTAGTGGAGTATAAAGCAGAAATTCCAAACATTTAAAATAAAAGCCTTGGCAGTCCTGATGGATAGTTTATAGGATTAAAAAATGGTAAAGAGAGACAAAATAATCTTTATGAATTAAATGAAGACATTGATTGTAAAACAAAATATATTATTTAACCTACTAATACGTGGAAGGAGAAGCTCCTACTAATAGGAGCAGATATAATCTGTAGTTGCCATAGAAGCTGAGGCAGTGAACTACAGGAGAGAGGTATGCACAAGGACCATTGCAGTAATAGATCACATATGCCTTCTTGCTCATCTGTTTAGGGTAGCCCAGGATATTGCTTAATAACTGAATTGAAAATGGGCTGGGTAAAAAATTGGTCAAATTTCCCACCAAGAGGAGGAAACTGAGAAATGGAATATTTCATACTATATCAGTAAACAAGGATATCACTGTCATCAGTGATTGCAGCCCTCCAATATGACCTGGTGAGCCCTAAGGGCAGTCAGAAAGGAGAAGAATACCTACAATTTGGCAGCCAGCAGATTGCAGCCACTCCCTAGGTGAGCTAGTCCCAAGGGAGCTCAGGATGTGAAAAACACAAGATGTTGGCCCTGGGTTCAGTTCAGTTCAGTTTAGTTGCTCAGTTGTGTCTGACTCTTTGTGACCCCATGAACTGCAGCACTCCAGGCCTCCCTGTCAATCACCAACTGCTGGAGTCCACCTAAACCTATGTCCATTGAGTCAGTGATGCCATCCAATCATCTCATCCTCTGTTGTCTCCTCCTCCAGCCCTCAATCTTTCCCAGCATCAGGGTCTTTTCAAATGAGTCAGCTCTTTGCATCAGGTGGCCAAAGTATTGGAGTTTCAGCTTCAACATCAGCCCTTCCAATAAACACCCAGGACTGATCTCCTTTAAGATGGACTGGATGGATCTCCTTGCAGTCCAAGGGGACTCTCAAGAGTCTTCTCCAACACAACAGTTCAAAAGCATCAGTTCCCCAGTGCTCAGTTTCTTTATAGTCCAACACTCACATCCATACATGACTACTGGAAAAACCATAGCCTTGACTAGAGGGACCTTTGTTGACAAAGTAATGTCTCTGCTTTTTAATATGCTGTCTATATTGGTCAAAACTTTCCTTCCGAGGAGTAAGTGTCTGTTAATTTCATGGCTGCAGTCACCATCTGCAGTGATTTTGGAGCCCCCCAAAATAAAGTCAGCCACTCTTTCTATTGTTTCCCCATTTATCTGCCATGAAGTGATGGGACTGGATGCCATGATCTTAGTTTTCTGAATGTCGAGCTTTAAGCCAACTTTTTCACTCTCCTCTTTCACTTTTGTCAAGAAGCCCTTTAGTTCTTCTTCACTTTCTGCCATAAGGCTTAGTGTTAGGGTTGCTGAGATATAAATGAAAGGAATTATTTCAGTGAGCCAACTCTTGCAACTTCCCATACATAGAAATGTGCTAAATTCCTTAACTTGGGATATTTGGTTTTCTTTAATTAACAACAATTTTTTGAAGTTCAGACTCCATACTTTTTGTTACAAAACTTCTGTATAACCTGGATCATCCCCTCTCTTTGGAACAGTTCTCTCAGGCCTGCTTGAGATACTGCCTTCTGTGCTAAAAATTTCTGCCTATCAAAACATACTCTCAGAATAATGTGCTAGGTAAATATGTTTACTGGAGCACAATAAATGTAGGGTTTAGTCCCAGGTATATGTTGATAAAAGTAACTTCATTTTTAATTGATTCTGCTTAGATCACAGAGGCCAGAGGGAAGCACAGGGAATCATCCAATGAAAAAAGTCAAATAATCAGAAGTTTCCTAGAAAAACATTAATTGCTCTGATATTTTTATCCTTTTCCAAAATCTAACTCTTCTATTTACAGGCTCAGTTAGATGGTTCGGTTCAATCAGTACACTGAGAATAAATCCATTTCTCAGGGGCCAGTGAATATTAACAAGTTCAAGTGGATCATCTATAAAACATAAAGCCAACCCATTAAGATAGGAAAAGAAGTAATTCTTGCAGGAAATGTAATAATTGAGTTTGCTTGATTTGAGAATTCTCCTCATAGTTAACCTACATGGAAATCTAAATTATAATCTGATCATTTTATTAATTTACAAAGACAAATTTCTGTTACAGGGAAATGGACATACCCCTAGCCCATTTTATCTCCACATCATTTCTATTTTATATGGAGAATGAAATCATAATGAGAAGCCAATTTGTTAATTTACCCTGAGATATCACTGTCTTCATGACCAAAGGACTTAAATCCAATATAATCAGCTTACTCTTTTCTTCTAAGGAATGGTAAGACTGAACATAATCAAAAGATTGTGTTCTGAGTCAAGAATCAGAACATAGGGAGTTACATAAACTAAATGTTTAATGATGTAAGACTAAGATAACTTAATAAATTCATTATACAGTATATTTAATCATCCCAATGTTACTAGAATTATGTGAAGTCCCACATTAATGTCTCCTTTGACTTGAAGAATACTTGTATCCCTCAATGTAACTATGACATACTGGAGAACCTTAATAAAGTTTGATAGTCCCTGTCAAATCATATCAAAGTGAGTACTTTGACTCTGGTAGGTTAGCTTTATACCATATGCTTGGGAAACTAGTCAATACTTCCCTTACTGATTAGAGTTATTACTATAATAAGACTCTAGCATGAATCTTGTCAAAAAATGAGATGAATTTCCTTTAATAATCATGATTTTGGCTTTCAAATGGTTAATTTTTTTAGCTCTTTCTGTAATTACATAATTACAAAAGTTGACTCTTAACATACGTAGAATTACTATTGTCCTTTTGTCTATGGGTGAAGGGAAATTAAAAATATAAAATTGATGCTTTTTGATAAAGAAATTCTTTAGTATCTCAATAATTTAGAAATTTGACTGTCTCACACTAGGCTACAAGATGTGTAGTCTATGAAGTCACTGAACTAGGTTTTACTAATTGTATGTGCCTTGAGTTGTTTACTGGCAGTCTATACATTTCTTGCAACTACATTTAAAATTCTGTGTTCATATACTTTTTTTGGTGACAATAATATTCACAATTTTTAATGGTTTGGTATATTGTAAGATGTATGTATAACCTATAGAATTTTGTGATATTATCTAAGGTATTATCATTTTATTGTTCCAAACATAGTATTTGTCTCATCTGTAATGATTCTAGTTCTTCCTGGTGGTTCATTGGTAAAGAATCTGCCTGCCAATAGAGGAGATGCAGGTTCGATCCCTGGGTCAAGAAGATACCCTGGAGAAGGAAATGGAAACCCACTCCAATATTCTTGCCTGGAAAATTCCATGGACAGAAGAGCATGGTGGGCTACAGTCCACAGGGTTGCAAAAGATTCAGACACAACTCAGCAACCAAACAACAACAACAGAAAAGTATACTTCAGTCATGACCAACTCTTTGTGATCCTGTGGACTGAAGCTCACCAGCTCCTCTGTCCATGGAATTTTCTGGGCAAGAATACTGGAATGGGCTGCTCTTTCCTTTTCCAGGGGATCTTCCTAACCTGGGGATTGAACTCGTGTCTCTTAGGTCTGCTCCATGGCAGGCAGGTTCTTTACCACTAGCACCATCTGGCAAGCTCCATTTTAGATGTTAGTATGCTAAAATATGGGTTTCTAAGGTGGCTCAATGGTTAAGACTCTGCCTGCAATGCAGGAGCCACAGGAGATGAGGGTTTGCTCTCTGGGTTGGGAAGATCCCCTTGAGGAGATCATGGGAACCTACTCCAATATTCTTGCCTGGGAAATCCCATGGACAGAGAAGCCTGGTGGTCTACAATCCATAGGGCCACAAAGAGTTGGACACAACCAAAGTGACTGAGTATGCATGCATGTGTACTAAAATACACTTTTCAATATAAATATTTTATTCTACATACCTCAAATAATGCATGTGTTACACTATGACATACAGAAGTGTTGTACACACACCCAAGTTATATACATACTTAGCTTTTACTAGAAAATGTATTTGAGATATCTCATGATTAAGAAATGTTGATGCACATAAAAGTTAATACCATATAACCATATAAAAACATACAATAAATTAGCCTAAAAATACTGTTGTCAATATTTGTCCGTGACTATGTCATGTTGTCAGTCACTAAGTCATGTCTGACTCTTTGCAACTGCATGGACTGCAGCATGTCAGGCTTCCTCATCCTCGACTATCTCCCAGAGTGTGCTCAAGTTCATGTCCATTGAGTCAATGATGCTGTCTAACCATCTCATCCTCTGGCATTTTCTTCTCTCTTTGCCCTCAATCTTTCTCAGCATCAGAGTCTTTTCCAAAGAGTTGGCTAAAAACATTATTTGCAATCGAATATCAATGTCAATTCTGTCAAAAAACTAAAACAAAGCAAAAGCAGTATTTATCTAGACCCTTGGTTTCTCTGCAAAAGCTAAGGTAAAGAAAATGTTGGTGATTAAATGATATGATCTCACTGAGGCCTGGAGTTTCTATGCATCTGTGCTTCACATCTGCAGAGGAATGATGATCTTATTTCAAAGCAGGATTAAATAATATTTATGGCTTTCAGGTTATGCAAACTCATGAAGCTTGGTTACAGACAGTAATTTTTTCTTTTTTATTACTGAAAGTATATGATATACCTTCAGGAATTTAAGAGGCAGTAGTAAAGGAATTCCAGCATTAATGGGTGTGGGTGCCTCTCCTCTAAATGAATACAATGTTAATGATGTTTTCATGCAAATTAGCTGTTAAAATGCAAGGCACAATGGCTTTTGGTTTGCCACACCTACTACACCGGTGTATAAAAGGCCTCAAGGGAACAGGGCAGTTCATATTCTGCAAGCAAAGGCTTTGCTCTCTTCTACATCTTCAACACTTGACAAGATGAGCTATTACTACGGCAACTACTATGGTGGCCTGGGCTATGGCCTTGGTGGTCTGGGCTGCAACTACGGCTGTGGCTATGGCTTCTTCCGAGGTCTGGGCTGCGGCTACGGTGCTGGCTATGGTGGCTATGGATATGGCTGCTACCGCCCGTGTTACTATGGAAGATACTGGTCCTCTAGCTTCTACTGAGAAACCCTGCTCTCGACGTTACACGTGACTGAGACCCGTCAGCCAATTTTCCTTTTCTAGATTCTGCTGTCTGGACACTTCATTACATTGGTGCCTCTCTGATGAAATTATGATGAGCCAATCCCAGGTCACTTTGATAGATCTTCAGATTTCAGTTTACCAGGACGGATGGGATAAAAATCACCTGAACTTGCAATTCTAATTTGGGCCATGGGGGAGGGGTGGATGGATTTACAGTTTGGGTAACCCTTTGGACATAAATTTTGGCAGAGCTCTCATTCTGAATTGTTCATGTGAGATCCGTGAAAATTTATTTTCATTAAATTTGCTTTGTCTGGTATTTTAAATGTGTCCTGGTTGTCTGTCCCTCATAAATATGATGTCTGTACACACATACGGGCATTGAGCGTGAATTTATACGTGAGTCTGTTGGCATAGTGAGTCTGTGTGTGTGTTCATCACGGAAGCTCCAATGGTGGTGCTGTGCCTGCAATTCTGTGTGACCATGAAGGTAGAGGGATTGTCCAGCAATTCTTTTCACATTTTGTTAAAAGTATATCGACACAGCTGTTGCGGCTCTTACCAGCCTCATATCTTCACAGTGGGATCATTATGCAAAGTTACTACACCATTTGCCAGGATGGTACTCAATGTCCTGCTGTCTTTTACTGTTTCCAAGCAGGACCCAACTCTGTTGGATGGTTGGAATCTGTGTTCTTAATGGATTTCTTCTACTGAGGCTGTTTTTTTTTTTGTTGTTGTTGTTTGGCTTCATTTAAATAGTTAGAAGCATGTGTGCTCAGTTGTGTCTGACTCTTTGTGACCCCATGGGCCATAGTCTGCCAGACTTCTCTATCTGTGGCATTTTCCAGGCAAGAATACCGGAGTGAGTTGCTATTTCCTACTCTTCCGACCCGGGGATTGAAACCACATCTCTTGGGGCTTCTGCATTGGTAGGTGGATTCTTTACCACTGTGCCACCCAGGAAGCCCCTAAACAATAATTGAAGATGTGCAAACAACCTTCAGAATCACACAGCAATTGGTAAGCTAAGTTATCATCCTTGCTGTCAGATACCCATTGCTCTAAACTGTTATTGGATACATGACTCAGCAAGTTCTTATACGTAGTGCCCAAAGAGACACCTGACATACTGTAGAATTTTGCCCCTTAAAATGTCTAACTGTGGGTTTACTCCCTTGATAATCAGACAAATGTGTTGTTGTTTAGTTGCTAAGTTGTGTTGACTCTGCCATGATCCCATGGACTGCAGAGCTCCAGGCTGCCCTGCCCTTCACTGTCTCCTTGGGTTTGCTCAAACTCATGTCTATTGAGTCGGTGATGCCATCCAACCATCTCATCCTCTGTTGCCCCTTCTCCTCCTATTATACTTATGTAATTTGGTTTGTAGAGCCAGAGTTCCAGTGTATGGTGTGCGTGAGTGTGTGTGTGTGTGTGTGTGTATTAAGCATCATTTCTGCTCCTAGACTTCCAGAACTGCCTGCATTGTTCTAGGCTGTTGTGTTTATCTATTCTTTGTGTCTCCAGATTTTGCCTTCACCTTTTATTCAACCTGCTTCAATGATAAGAAAACTCTGCAAAAATAGAGATTGGATGGCACTCTATTATCACTCTGAAGCAGTTTATTTTTCAGTTGTCAGAAAGAAAGTTCTCTTAAGATATTTTTGAATGAATGACATCTCTTGAAAGACTACTGCATTCAATCTATAACCACAAAATAAGTCAACCTACTTGTATATTAATTTATGACAGTAGCATTCTTAGCTTTGGATTCTAAAAACCAAACCAACCAAAGGCAGGGTACAGGAAATACAGAGAAAAGTATGAAAACCCTGAAAATGCTACATTTAATTTCTTTCAAGAACATGGGATGGTCATGACATAAATCAGTATTTCTGCTTAAGAAAAAATGTTGATAATGCCTGCCTTAAGCTGCTGACTCATAAAATAGTAGGAACAGGCACTGGTGACAAATATTGGACATAAGACACAGCATATCACATGCAGTACAAGTTCAAGGGGCCACCAAAGTTTCTATGAACTGTATAAAATAATTATACATTAGTCTACAATTCAAAACATTCTTAGATGATTTAGACTTGGACATCTAAGAAAAAAGTCTGCTAATTGTGTCAACAAGAACATTCACCTTAATAAGTTTTACGGTACTTGGTGATGCCATACTGGAAACTCCTATGACAGATGTAATCATGCATTTATTCAACTATCCAACCAAGAGTCATTATCATCACTATGTGCTCAATCTGTACTAAGTACCAGAGGTAGAAAGACATAAAGTAAGTTCCTGGGAACTTTATGAATTTATAAGTCAGATGTAAATTCAGATAATAAATATATAGTTACAATTCTCTGTGTTAAGTTTTAAGAAAAACTTATATATTTGGGAGTGATTAGATGCCATAGGTGGAACATTTAATCAAGCTGTGTTGTCAGTAAAAGATCCCCCAAAACGATATTGCCTGATATTAGTATTAAGGAAATAAACAAGAAGAGAGGATTTACAATGTGTTGGTGCATAGCATTTGTGTTAGCCTGATTACTTTTGACAGGAGAAGAAGGGGACGACAGAGGATGAGATGGTTGGATAACATCACCAACTCGATGGACATGGGTTTGAGTAAACTCCGGGAGTTGGTGATGGACAGGGAGGCCTGGCGTGCTGTGATTCATGAGGTCGCAAAGAGTCGGACATGACTGAGTGACTGAACTGAACTGAACTGAATTACTTTTGACAGCTTGTTTCCCCATCACCATATCTAGATGCAGGTTTCTCCAGTAGACATGTACTTTTATTCAACAATCCCAGTAGACATTCATTTAGAAACTAGAAATTGGAAGGTGGAGTTAGATTTTCTGGCAAGTTCTTCCAATGTCATAGGTGATAACCAGCATCAAAAATAATGGTATATGTTACCTAGGAATGGCTACAAGAGGGAATATGAAATTGAAGAGAGATAAATTAGCAGAATCAGTGACCTGGTTTATACCATTGTAAGTCTAAAGAAGATTAAAATTCTAGAAACAGTTGTATCAGAAAGGTGTTATTTTGATGGTCATAGATTTTAATCAGAAATATATTGCTTTAGGCTTTCACTGGATTCTCCTTAACTGAAATATTACTTTAAGGATATTTTTATTTATTTAAGTTTTATTTATTTTTTTCCATTTATTTTTATTAGTTGGAGGCTAATTACTTTACAATATTGTAGTGGTTTTTGCCATACATTGACATGAATCAGCCATGGATTTACATGTGTTCCCCATCCCGATCCCCCCTCCTGCTTCCCTCCCCATCCCAGCCCTCTGGGTCTTCCCAGTGCACCAGCCCTGAGCACTTGTCTCATGCACACAACCTGGGCTGGTGATCTGTTTCACCCTTGATAGTATACTTGTTTCAATGCTATTCTCTCAGAACATCCCACCCTCACCTTTTCCCACAGAGTCCAAAAGTCTGTTCTGTACATCTGTGTCTCTTTTTCTGTTTTGCATATAGTGTTGTCATTACCATCTTTTTAAATTAAAAAAAAAGGATATTTTCATTTAGTAGAGGATGTTGTATTCTTTTCAGTTCACTTTCTTGTGTGTTTTCTTTATTAATATTGACAATAGCTTTTTGAATTACATCATCATGTTGATCTTGGTTTTCAAAATAAATTTCAACATAATATCGAATGTCACATTAAGTGACATAACCAGAACTAAGATGTAAATTGTTTAACTTTTGTTTACTGATACGTGCAGAGAAGAAAACTTTCTTTGAATAAGGAATAGTGTTCTTTTTGAAATTTGACAGATGCAATGTGGCATTAAGGCAGTACCGGTTTTGTTCAGTTCAGTTCAGTTGCTCAGTCGTGATTGACTCTTTGCAGCCCCATGGAATGCAGCATGCCAGGCCTCCCTGTCCATCACCAACTCCTGCAGCTTCCTCAAACTTATGTCCATCGAATCAGTGATGCCATCCAACCATCTCATCCTCTGTCATCCCCTTCTCCTCCTGTCCTCAATTTTTCCCAGCATCAGGGTCTTTTCAAATGAGTCAGCTCTTCGCATCAGATGGCCAAAGTATTGGAGTTTCAGCTTCAGCATCAGTCCTTCCAATGAGCATTCAGGACTGATTTCCTTTAGGATGGACTGGTTGGATCTTCTTGCAGTCCAAGGGACTCTCAAGAGTTTTCTTCAACATCACAGTTCAAACGTATCAGTTCTTCAGTGCACAGTTTTCTTTATGGTCCAACTCTCACATCCATACATGACCACTGGAAAAACTGCAGCTTTGATTAGATGGACCTTTGTCTGCAAAGTAATGTCCCTGCTTTTCAATATGCTATCTAGGATGGTCATAGCTTTTCTTCCAAGGAGCAGGCATCTTTGAACTTCAGTGATTTAACTGCAGTGATTTTGGAGCCCTCCAAAATAAAGTCTCTCACTGTCTCCAGTGTTTCCCCATCCATTTGCCATGATGTGATGGGACCGGATGTCATGATCTTCATTTTTTGAATGTTGAGTTTTAAGCCAGCTTTTTCACTCTACTTTTGCACTTTCATCAAGAGGCTCCTTAGTTCTTCTTCACTTTCTGTCGTAAGGGTGGTGTCATCTGTCTCTCTTAGGTTATTGATATTTCTGCCAGCATTCTTGATTCCAGCTTGTGCTTCATCCAGGCCAGCATTTTACATGTACTCTGAATATAAATTAAATAAGCAGAGTGATATTATACAGCCTTGATATACTCCTTTCCCAATTTGGAACCAGTCTGTTATACCATGTCCAGTTCTAACTGTTGCTTCTTGACCTGCATACACACTTCTCAGGAGCCAGGTAAGGTGGTCTGGTATTCCCATCTCTTTAAGAATTTTCTACAGTTTGTTGTAGTCCACACAGTCAAAGGCTTTGGTATAATCAATAAAGTGGAAGTATATGT